TGAGGGGTGTCGGGGCCGGGCCGGGGTCTGGCCCCAGCTCCCTTGGATAAGACCAAGGCAAGCAATACCCATAATTATTTTAAAAGAAAAGAGGAATTTGGATTCCTTTCCTCACCTTAATCCAAAAAAAAAAAAAAAGTATATAAAACTCATTCTTCCAAAATAGCGCCCCATCTCCTTAAGCCTACTTTGAAGTTTAATGTAAATTTGTTAATGTCGAAATTCATGCACAAGTTGAAAAGACAGACTGCTATAGTTAACATGAGGACAAACAAATTAACGGGAGTAATTTAAATTTTACAAGCAAAAGTTAGAAACAGCGTACCTTTCTTTTCCTCTTCTCAAGAGCTTCCAGTGCGTCGGCTGCACAAAGTTCTCCGAGCGTATTGCCAGCTGGGGCGTCGTGCTAACTTCAGAGTACTTGATTAGGCTGCGTTTAAGAACCACAACACTTACAATCTGTTCCAATAAGATACAATGTCATGGAGTTACACTAAAATAATGTGTTATATTAATAGTATGCATTTAAAGGAAATTATGCTTTAAATTATTTTAAGCGTCAGATGAAAACAAAGATTTTAAGGACAAAATCTTTGGCAGCACAAAGGAGACACAAAGGGTGTCTCTCTCTTATACCCAAAGAAACGGTACAAGCCTCCGCCGTCCAACAGGTACGAAGGTAGCATAACAGGACTGAAAATGAAATTCCACCTACTTCCATTCTCTCCTGTTCTCTGGAGCAGTAACATCATCAAAATCCTGATTCAACAGGGATTGGATTAGTTTAGTGCATTTATCTAGTTAAAAATTTCTGGTCTACTGTCCTCAATATTATCAGGCTATCACGTCCCCGATGGTTCACTAACATCACAGGAGACAGAAACCCCAGGGAGCTGCATTTCACTACATCAGTGATCCTGCTTAATTACAAAGAACCTATTTGTTGGAGCCCTCCCAGCCCTCTCATGCCAGCTGGGACACCGAATACAACGAAGCAGAGGAAACCTTAGAGTACTCCCATCACTCCAAGTGATTCCACTTGTATAAGTAGGGCAAGTTGGGTTTGAATATCTGATTATTATAAATTGCATAAGGAGAAAGTAATTATTTGAAGAAAGACCAGTTTCAATTTCTGTTTTAAAGTTTGCGAGGCTGTTAGTGTGGGGCCCAGAATTATTAAACAGTTTTCCAAACGTTAAATGCATGAAGCAAACAGAAAATCCCCATTTAAAAAAAAAAACAAAACCAAAAAACCAAATAATTTTCTCAGCAGCTTTACATATGTATGTAGCATTTACTTTTATATGTCGTTTAGGACGTTTCTGTGGAGGTATACCATAAAACACTCCCATATCCCATAGCACAGCTTGAATGTGAAAGATCAACAGTGAGACATTGCAGATGTGGATGGACAATACTGATTCACCTCAGCTTGTCCACAGAACAAAAAAACTAAAGGAAAAAGTCTTCTCTGTCTCTAGTTCTGACCAGGGATGGGCTGACAAACCAGCAAGAAAACCCGAGCTGGAGCTAAGACTTCTCATATCCGTTTGAGTAGAGAGAAGGGAGAGAGGTAGCTGCTTTTCTAGGAGAGCACAGGTTGTGTTTCTTTGGAAAAAGGTGCAGTAAGGAACAGTTTGCCAGAAACAGTTTCCATAGCTGGTTCAGGAAGTGGTTGAGACTTAAACAGTTCTACTAAGATGGACTGCTCGGTTTTACTAAATTTTAAGAACAGTTTAGGGCCATAACAGCTGGGAATAACCCCCATGAGGAAAGGGTAACTGGAGCATAATACATTTCTACCATTTTCCTACACTACCAATTGAAAAAATTACTACCAGAGGAAATCTGATAAGTTTCAGCCCCTCTTCTGACACTGGAACAATACAGTAAGTAATAGTAACAATAATATTTAAAAAAAAAACCCTATATTCTCATCCTAAATTCTAAGCACGTAGCTTTTATGATCTTTTAAACATGGATTCTCACTCTGACAAAATATGACTATAATGCTGTATATCGTTTTAATTAAATATGCACTTTATAAAAGTTAATTTAAGAAAAAGCAGTTTTGGCTAGATTACCTGAATTTTATGATCCATAATCAATCCCTTATTTTCTTCACCTTCAGGAACTTGAAAACTTTTATTTGTAAAACTCATAATTGAGGCTCTAAATCAGAACTGTTCTTACCTTCAGTTATGCAATGTTAAAACTCACACTACTCCGGCACGCTAAACAAAGACTTCTTTTTGCTTTCTCAGTATAGCATAAAACAAGGGAGTTCAAGTTGCTGAGAAGGAAATCAGTTCCAAGTCATTCTGTGGGCCATGCTCAGAATGAATTATTTCTGGAGTAAGTGGTACACCTATCCAGCTTTCCAAGTGCCGTGAAGTAAGTGTGAATAGAAATAAAAAATTTTCACCACTGAACATCAGGTGAAAAAAAAAAAGATACTTTGCTCCTATCTTAGCTGGTTCACACTGCTCTCAATCCACACTGTCCAATTCCCAAATTCATAGTCGGCAGCCAGGGAAAGAACATTACTGGCTTGATGGCACTGAGCCTCTGGCTCAGCCAGAGTTGAGAGATCTGTAAACTTGGGAGGACCCACCATATGTAGCTGTGAGAGACTCAAGCTGCAGCATCATTATGCTGTATAGCAGAGTCTGAGGATAAACTGGACTATAGATTACGCACCAAAAAAACCCCAATCTCTATTTCCCAATCAGAGAGAAATACAATTAACCTACAGTGAAAATATTTAGATGCAAAACTGCTTCTCTCTCTCTCCCTGCTGACCTATCTTACCACAAGGTCTCTCAACAGGCTCTTAGCAGCTATCATATTTTTACTGCATCAGGAAAGAGAATATTAGAAAAGATCAACGACAAGGTTGTAACAACTACTGTAGTCACACACTTGTACTTCTTAGATTCAATTCTTTGTACCTGATCATATTCCTCCCTCCCCTGTTAAACTGTTATGGCACTTGTGAATCTGAATTAGTGGGACTAGGCATGATCTAGAAAAGTTTAAAAACAAATTTTGAAATTTGAAAAGAAAATGTATATGTAATTTTCCTGTCTCTGATGATATGTCTTCTTATACCTTTTCACATGGGTGTTTAATAATTTTAACTGGATCCTTGAATTTTGAACATATGTTTGGAAAGTAAAAATTTTCTGAAATTGAAGCACATTATTTCTGCTTTGTAGAGTATCAGCTGCCTCTCTCCCTATTTTTTTTAAACTTACATGATTAGCTGGATTGCTTAGGTGAATTCCCAGATACATAATTCTTTTCCAAAAAATATCATTTGTCTTTAATTGTTCTTATCAGAGGTGAGAGGGAAACTAGATGCAATTCTCCTCTTCAGTTGTAAAAACTCATTAGAACAACCTATAAGACAAAATGTAATTATATTTGGATGCCATCAAGATGTAGCACATTTGTCATGCATTTTGCAAATGCAAATATAAAATACACTTTTTAATAATTGGGCAATGCAAGTTTTAACCTGTAACTGTTCCTGGATTTCTTAATTTCACAGTGCTATAAGCAGCTTTTCCTGCACAACTGTGCAGGGTGCACTGCAGCTGAAGGGAGAGACAGCAACAAGTGGGAACAACGGGAACTGCTCTGTTGCTGACACGCCAGGGATAGAAAAACAGTCTGAAGTCAGTAAAATACCAAAGGTGGTCAGCAAAAACAATTACGATCCCTTCCTCTGGTCTTTGCACCTCTCCCCTTCATATAAGGGGCCATGAGGCACTACCAATTCCTTTCCTGAGCCTCCAGTTCAACAGAGATACAGTTCTGAATTGGTTCAGAAAGCCTGAGATGTCCTTTCATATAGGGCAGGGGAAAGAGAGACAGAGAGAGGGACACAGCAGGAGACATTGCTTTCAATAATTAGCGTGAAGGAGATGAGTTTTAAAACTATTTTTTCCAAATAAAAAAAATTAAGTGTTACCTCCTTTTTATGTCCTGACTAGCCTCCTCTCACCTCATCTACTCATACGCTCACTGTGTATGGGCCAAAATTTACATTAGCAGTGAAAGTTGCACAGCAAGTAAGAGTCAGGTACCTTTAACACTGTGTATCTTGCTTTATAGGAATAATTATTAGCTGAAAAACTACTATTTGGGGGAGGGGGCGCTATTTTATCATCTAAACAGCTCTTAAAAAAAAGAAATTACAAGCATTTTTGGAAAAATACTGTCCTGGCACTCTAAAATTCATTTGTTCCCCACAGACTCCTGTAGCTCACATGACACTGAGAAGTCAGCATACAAGAGTAGCACAGAACATAACAGCTCTTTCAGTGAGTTTTCCCTATGTACTTTTTCCACTGTGTTTATCTGTAAATAGAAATTCATTATTGCAGAGAGGAAGACTGCATCGGCTCTATTCATTCAGACTTTACTGAAGATGTCCTGTCTAAATGCAGGAACTTGAACCAAGTTTCTTTCAGTTACTCAAATGATTGTTCAGCTAGAATTATAGCTGCTCAGCCTATTGCATGCTACAGAATAGGAAAAAAAGGTTGTTTGACAATTGTAGATGGCAAGGTACATAATAGTAGGTATCTAAATTCAGAATATTGTTTTATTAATTGATTATAAATTGTATACATTTCTGGAATAATTTCAGAGCAAAGATACAGTGTAATTCAGTAGGAATTTATTCTGGATTCTGATTTTATGGGACATAAAAGAATACCCATCCAAAGCTCTGAGTGTTTGACATCCCATCTTCAAAACAGAAAACTTGCACAATTGCCTAATAGTTGCTTTCTTTTCATACTCCTAATCCCAGTTCAAATGAAGAGAGAGATACATCTTTACCTTTGTAAGCACATTTTCATTTTCTATGCATCTTTCTAAACTCTGATTATTGCACTGACAGTGGTTTGGAAGAACGTACAATGCCTTTCATAGATTTTTTCATGAATCTTGCAAGAAGGAAGAGTTCTGGATGTGACCAGGCTTTTTTTTTCTTTCTTTCTTTCTTCTTTCCTTGTACAGCATTTTGAGATTTTTTGTTGTTTTTTCCACAGCTTGCTTTCTCTGAAACACAGAATCTAACATTATTTTTACTAATAACAAAATTGTTATGGAAATGTTGATTTTATGATAATGCAAAGAACAGTTATGTAAGCGTGTATCTTGGCCAACTAATGCACATACTGGGTTGTATTATTACACTTGTTTGCTCTGTCAATAGATAACATATCAGAACATTCGAGTACTGTGTCAAATTAATTTATCTGCCAAAAAAAAGAACATAGAGTCATCTAAAAAGGCAGGTAATGTTTGTCAGCATAGTTCTGTGCCAAAACTATTTCTTAAGCTCTAGATCATCTGTGCCTCTCTGTGCTTTTTTACCAGTAGGAATATGCTTAACAGTGCTATTAATGGCCAGTACTAATAAAACAGTTGCGGTTATAACCAAGGCCTCAGTAAGAGGCAGATAGTGGCCTGCAACAGAGGAAGACAGTGCAGAAAACAGGTATTGCAGTGGCATGCTAGCACCTGTGACAATACCAGCTGTAGTAGTTCTTAAGATTTTAATCGAACCTGCCTGATGCAATTGCCAACATGGAAAAGAGTCTCCAATGTTAATAACTGCAGCTTTTGTGCAGAAATAAAAACCCACACAAAACAAAACCAGCCAGTTTGGAAACATACGGTGTTCTCTAAGCTGAAGAGTCCTGGAATAAACTGCGTATCACTTTTACACTGGAAGACCTTACTGGAGGGGAGACTGGAGTGAAGAAATCGCAGAAATACATTGCTATCCAGAACAGCAAATGGAGTTAAAAAACACCCCCCTCCACGTGCTTCCATTTCCCTGTACTGCAGCACAGACAGGTGACTATGATGTGACATTTATAGATGTCCAGGTGAGAGTTCAAAGATAGAGAAGCGAGAGTAATTCAGACTCTTAAATGAATCGTGCATTGCTCCTACTCAGTGTAACAAACAGGCATCACTACACCTAACATATAGAAAGGAATTCCTTAAAAAAGATTTATGAAAACCGTTAATGGCTTCTGGGAACCTCTCTGCTTTACTGAGAAGGCTCAGTCTCACAAGAGACTGACTGTTGCTGAGCCGCTTAACATTTTAATTAACTCCATAAATGAACGCTTAAAACTTCTCCCTTCTTCATACAACACCCAAGCCCATCCATCCCTCATTTTGAAGCAAAGAGTGTTAAAGCTAATTACACCAAAGCCCCAGGCTACTGTACCAAAAGATTAATTCTCCACTAGATGCTTGTTTGCTAGTTGTTTTACTTTCTGGAGGAGAGCTCAGTCATTACCATTCCCTCCTGACAGGACGGATTTTCAAGTTGGAAGCTTGTCTCGTATTCCATTAATTAGTTCAAACAAATTTAACTGTGAGGACAAACTGAGATTAGCTGTTTCAGAACGCAGCTCCGCTCTGAACTGAAAGCTGAAAAGCCAGGTAATTTGTTTTGCTGTTACTGTCTCGGGGGAACCTCGCCTCTATTTTGCACTATAGACACCTCTTGTAAGTGTGGGTGAGGTAGTGAAGCCCGTCTCAGCGCCTTGCCCTCTCACAGCTGTCTGGAAGCTGCCCAGCATGAGGGGACCCTGTAAGTGATCCTCTCGGTTGGCAAATCCTGCCGTCCCGGGGTGGTGCGGGGAGGTCAGCACAGACAACCTCAGAAACGTCCCTCATGGAAACTCCCCTTGCTCCCATGTTTAAATTACAAAGGGTATTGCACAGGCCAAGTTTATTCTCTCCTCATCCACGTTTGCAGACGTTGAGTCCTATGTACCATACAGCTTGCTTAATGGATTTGTTGCCTTTGACACATTTTTCTAGTCTTAGATTTTGGCCAAGGCAGTGCCAGAATATATACATGCAATTCAAGTCTGATCATAAAAAAAAGCCCTGTAAATGTGACAGAATAGTGTGATTTGGAAGATCTGACCGGGATCTAAACCAACTACGAAGCTAAGAGAATCAGTCAGAGTGCCCTTTTATTTATTCTAGTGTACATCAGGAAGATCAGAAGAAAAGGTGGGGGGGGAGGTACAGGAGTAAATAAAACTTGTGAGATAAACTGTGAGCTATCACCTCATTATCACATGGGGAAAATGCTTGTGGGACCCTCTCAGCTTCTGCTGTGACCCTGAGCTGTCAGTCTGTGACTAACAATGGTTACAATGACCACATGTTTGACAAAACACTGTGCATGTATGTGGCAACATTTAAATATTTTTAAGTTACAGAAACTAGAGGGAAGAAATACTTTCTCTTGGACTCTTTCGTTTGCATTGCTATGTAATACCCAGCACCTTACCATCCCAGAGAGGGCAAGAGGAGACCAAACCGTATATACTTACTCTGCTTTCCTAAAGTGCTTCGGAGGTCTACGGATGAAACAGACGTCAGGTCCGAGCGCCAGTGTCGACCACTGCCGATTCTTACACAAGTTTCCCTCTTACTGATTTTACCTCTGTCGCTTCCTGGTTGTCTTCAGGAAATCTGTTTCTCTGTCACCTAGCAACAGCATCCCAGTGTCCGGGAAAGGAGAAGGCTGAACAGGGGGTGGTTAATCACAAGGAGCTCCCACCCCTAAGCGTCGCAGCCTGCTACTGCAGTAACCCTTCAGTAGGCGCAAGAAGGTTTGCCTGGGAGCAAAACACTACACGCATATGAGTCTGACTGGCACTGAAGCCTTCTGTCATTCTGCATGTATCTCTCAAAAAAAAAAAAAAAACCGTGGTCTTTGTCTGCTCCCTGACACAGTCAAGTTTGTCATGGAAAAACCAAAAAAAAAAAAAATAAGAAAAACGTGGTCTTTGTCTGCTCCCTGACACAGTCAAGTTTGTCATGGAAAAACCAATCTGCAGTAGAGCTGGGGATAGCCTGCATTTTGAGAAACTAAAGCCAAAATCTTCTGCACTGCTATTTTGGAGGAATCAGGTAAGATTTTTATTTCTTTTATGTATTTTACCTTTCTAAGTCTTAAGTCTCAGAGTAACTTTACTTAGGTTGTTCCACCATTCTTTCCATTTTATTCCTGCACAGGAATAATGACCAAAAATAGAGGATGAAGGAAAAGGGAGGGGCAGGAATCTTTACAGCAAACTAAACTGGCTGTTTGGATACAACCCCCCTCCCCACATAGATACTGTTTATAAAATAGGAACAAAGACTTGTATCTCCTTTTTTTCCCCCCCTCAAACTTAACTAGACTTTATATACAACTGCTACAGCATTTGCAATAATAATTATGCTTAAATAATCATGATCTTGAGCAGTGAAAGGATTTGGTCATTACAGTTTTATGGCACGTCATAATTAGATTAGATTGTATAGTGTCTTTATATATGGATGAATATTATTTTCATGTACTTCTAAATTCATGTAAAGAATATTTAAAAACAGTTCAATGTTGTCTGAGTTTCTAACAAATCACAAGCTTACAAAACCTACGTATTTTCTAAGGACAAAAAACGAAACAAAAATTACAGCAGCCACTGGATCTTGTTAAACCTTATTCAGCTGTGTTATAGAGCTGTACCTGGTTTAGGTACACAAAGTGACTTCTTAAACTTTTCTTTCTAAACTAAATAATTTAGCTGAATTACAGTCTATATTCCTCCCAGTTTTTGTAGGTCTACTCTGAAAACTTCTCTAGCTTGTCAATAGCTGCCCTGTATTCCTGCATCCCAGGAACGGGCCAAATATGCCAAGAGCAGTCTCTTCAGGGCTGAATACAGTAATACCGAGGTAGCCACTGTACACCTATTAAAAGACTCCTGTTTTACTTTAGTATGCATAAATCATGAAAGCTTCAGCTAAATATACTTTTGTAAGTATTCAGAAGAACCTGAAGTAAACTGTATGCATTTCTCCATTCTACCAGAAGTCCCTTATTTGGTCCTGAAAGTTGATGCTTACTGGCATGTTTTTTATTCTCTATTTATATATGCCATTTTCAAAAAATACTGAATCAGTCCTTACTACATATGACTAAATGTTGCAGATTTTGTACTTCAATTTCTGCTCATTTATGTATTTCAAAGATGACGTATTGTAAACATTTTCCATATGTTATTGCTTCTATTGCCTACATATAGTCTATCAACAGACTGTATGAATGTGTGTATGTATTTAATTTATTTCCCCCTCACCACTATAGTTATCTGCATGTAGAATGGGAGACATTAGTTTGAAAAGCCCAATAACAGAGATTTATCTATGAGAAACTGGCACACTAACTTTCCAAAAATTGAGAGTTCTAGGAAAAAGTTTCTAGCTACAGAGGCATTACGTATCTATGGTTGTTAGCCTAGCCCAGCACTTGGGAGCACGATCAGCACAGGTTGTAACACCCTTCCATATTACGACTTAGAAAAAACTCAGAATAACGGAATGGTTAGAGAAGGTGGCATATTAGTAGTGAAAAGATTAGATCACTCTGCTATAATGATCACAGAATCTCTTTAATAAGATTCACACAGTGCCCATAGAGAAACTCCTTCTGTTCTTCCAATTTCATCTTTAACTTCCTCCGCTTTCTGAATCTCTGCATATGAATGTATGACCAGACTGGGCCTTAATGCAGCTTACCTCAGAATCAGTCAAAATCAACTCCAAAACGGCTGGAAGGTTTGCATTGTAACTCCTACTAAAGAGCTCCCACGCTCAGTTTTCTGTACAGGAAATAAGACATCTCAAGACATTGAAATTCGCTTCAACAAAGTTACCTTATTAAAAAATTTCCATAGGCATAGGAGTGAGAGCAGGTGAGAGAAAAAAAACCAAAAATTTTGTATGTGACCATGCAAGATCCTTTAACTTAATTATGCTTTTTCTGTCATATTGATCTGATCTTGTTATACCCAACTGCAGCATGTAAATCTCCATCTGATTCAGTCTTCAAATAAATGAACATGCTAAAAAGCCAGGCCTCACAGGAAATACGCAGCAGATCAAGTTTGTTGTAAATTTATTTGTGAGTTATTCTCAAGCAATGTTACAAAACATTAATATTTTGATAAGAAAATAAAATTTAAATAAAAATACATTCAACAATACATCATCATAATACAAATTAAAAGTAATGATAATTTACAATCCAAATAGACCTAATTACTGAACAATGTTTTCTTTCTAGATTAATCAAAATGAAGGCAACTTTTATTATTAATCATCCTACTTGTACCTAATTAAATTCTAGAACATCTACTGCCTTTTAAAAAATTATTAAGTGAGAAATTAAATCTTAATGGTCACAAATATTAAGTGGCCTTTGTTTTTTCTAGATATTCCAGTACCAAAGCAAATAAAAAGTGCATATTTTTCAAAAAAAAATGTTGCAATAGCATGCAATTTAATTTGTCATAAATTTGACTTTGAAAATAACAGAAAACGGCTCCAAGGAACAGACAATTTGCAACAGGGTTGGCCAATACACAACAAAACTTAACTCTGACACTCAACAGCATTCAACTTTAACAGCAGCTTTTTAATGGCAATTAATCAGACCCACCTGACTTTGGCAAAACAATTCTTGGCATTAATAAAGATTTTTTTCCCTCCCTAATTTCAACTTCTGTTAAAGAAAAGTCCCTTAGAATACAGATACAGATATATATATAAATAAAATAAAAGGCAAACACAGCTGCAGGTGATTAAATGATTGTGACACTGCAGATGCTGGTTCTGAATTCCAGATATTCCTTAATAGTTCCTCTAGTATTAAAACAAACAGTCATTTTGACAACAGCTACATTCATTTCAAAAGACATTTCAAACCTGTTTTGCCAATTGGGTTGTCTTTCTGTAGAAAGCCTCCCTACAACAGTATTGCAAACATATAGTGTACATTAGAGTTTTGCAAACATTGTGAATGTCTACTCTTTCTATTGGTAAGTTACATTCTTAATTATTTTGGGCAAATCGTGATTAAAAAAAAAAAGACCCCACAGTAAATGCTCCAAAAATAGAAGTACCACACATAGACAATTATTATTAGAAAAATAATAATCTAAGGAGTACCACTGTATTTAATACTGCTGAAGCAAAGTTGCCACAGTAATACCTTTGCTTCTTCCTGGTTCTATACATATATATTCTTTCAACACAACCTAAATTCTCAGATGAAGTAAGCAAAAAAAATTAATCTTCCTAAAGTCAAGAATACCAGTTTAAAATTGTGTTAACTGGCAAATAAGAATTTATATAACTAAAGACATAAAAATATCACTTAAGCATTGACAAAACAATGTTGATCATTCAACTGATCATAACAAGAAGATACTACAAAGTATCTAAAAATAATCTGGGATAGTCCAGATATCTAAAGTGCTTTGAGTGATTACATTAGAGATGCATTGTTTGTTAGATTTGTAGTTAAAAGATAAGCTGGGCCGAATTATTACTTTTATTGAAAAAGAAAATCATATGTGGGATCATGTAAGTTGATCAGTACTTTCTTAACCACAATCTGTTCACATTTGAATTTTTCGGTGTGTAAGCAAACTTTTTCCTTTGGGGGTGGGGGGAAATGTTGCTACCCTGCATTTCTTATTAAAATAAAGAAAAAAATCTGTACCTTAAAAATTCCTAAAGAAAACAGATAATGGCCTAATGTCACTACATATATTACTCACCCCAAATGTAAACACGAGGCACAACATAAGTTCCCTGATTTCTTCTTCTTTAGTACTTAAAAAAAATAACTAACACTGGTATCTGCTGTCCAAATTATTTGCAACATACTGCATAATTTTCTAAGACTCCAGGAATAAGTCAAATCAAGTCCTGACAAACCTAATGTGAGAAAAAAAGTCAGATGAATTGAATATGAAGCTTCAGATTTTTCCATGTCATAGTATCTCAAGATTTCACTTTCCAGATCCATATCAGCAGGGCAGGCACTCATGGTAAACTGATGCAAGTTTGCAGTATATATACACCCAGAGAGATGTAATCCAATCAACAATTTCTGTATTGATTTTCTTCCCTTAAAAAGCTTATTTGTTTAGAAAGTTCTTTCCAATAAGACAGCAATGGCAGAAAGACATTTAGATTTATTCACATCTATTACTTCAAGAACCTGGAATTTCAAGTTCTTCAGCAAAATGGGAATAAATTTTTAAGACCAGATTTCCAAGCAGAAAGTTTTCTATTAAATATTAAATAGATTGTCAACACAACTAGCATTTATGTTCATTCTTAAATACTTTGTGAAAGTGTAGGTAATGAATAAAAAAAACCACCAAAAACAACCCAGGAACATTTCCAGTTTCTTCTTCATCCATATAAGCCACAGTTTGTTTTGGTTAGGAAACTTTTCCAACAATTGGATTTTCTCTGGAAAAAATAAAGTATCACATGTAGATATTTTTAAGGTAGTATTTACTTTCCTATTCTCATCATACAAATTTTAACTTAAGGCAAACATACTCTTTGCACAATTTCTACCACTACTTGTGGAAATTGACGGTTTACTTAAAACCTCAAGTGCTTTCATGCGAAACTTCTAAATCAAACGTCAATTTTTCTAAACCACTCAGGCCAAATATTAAAGCTAGGCAAACCAAACAGATGTCATAACATTCTTCTGGAAAATCAAGCCTTCCTGATGCAAAGAAGAAAACAGAAATCTGACTAGCGTTGTTCTATAGATATTAGCTGGGATCAAAGAGAAATGAAAGAATTGGCTCTGGAGCAGCTGTGCATTCCAAAGAATAGTTCTTTGAACATCACCAAAAATAGTCCTTTCTATTTAATATAGCAAGTGAATTGAACAACAACATAAATACTGCATGAAAGATATGTACGCAGTATAATTTTTACAGTTTTATATAACTCAGTATCTTTGTAAAATTTCTGTTAAGAAAGAATTAAGACATTTAACATTTTAAAACACATTAGAAGGTATGCACACAGTTAGGTATAACATCTGAAGCTCAAGCAACGTTTAAGTTGCAAGGAAACGGATTCATTCAACCTGCTGAGGGGAATCTCAACATGAACACAGACAAATCCCATGTCAGAGGAACTTTTTACATTATCTAATGACTCGTAAAAAGTTTCATTATTACAAATGCAGCAAATCGACGCACCTTATCTTCCTCTTGTCTCTGTGTTGTCCAGATCTAACTTTGGCTTAAATCCTCGTTACCTCAACGAGCCTGACCTCATTCTGCGATTTTTTTTTTGGACTTATTTACGTATGTCAAAATGATTTAAGATACTTACTCACTGCCATATTTAGCACTAGATGATCTCTTCTTTCGATATTTTTCATGGGAGTCATTCAGCTTTCCTACTATATCTATTATTTGTTTAAGTGTATGAAAGATTGCTACAGAGTCTTCAGTTGTGAAGTTAGAATAGTCATCTGGTTCTTTCTGTGGACCTTGATAGACTGCTATACTTCCGCAAGTCTCTACAAAAATTACCACAAATATCAGGTTAGAATTTTGACTTTTAATAAAGAGACCTCTTATAATGTAAATGGCAATTCTGAAATTCTGAAATATAAAGTTACTCTAGCTTATACATAAAGTGGATTAAGATGAAAACAGGAAGGAATATCAATTAGATGTATTAACATTCTTGTGGCTTATTCTCTACTGGTTGCATATTTATCTTTAGCATCTAGATCCCTCCTGTTCACGTTACCAGAAGACCAATGTTTTCTCAGAACTCAACCACGCTGCATATAAACCTTGCACTAGTCAGGAAAAGGAGAACAAAGATAAAGGAGTAACTGGCTATACTTGCAGGTATCTTCTTATTCAGACTGCTGCTGAGATTTCCTATACGCAAATTCACGTAGAACAAGGTGCACACCCAATGCCTACTGTTAAGGAAAGGCTGAAGACTGTTTGATACTAGAGCACTAAAGACTAAAATAAAAAAAAAAAAAAAAAAAAAAAACATACTCTGCAGAGACTGTTACATTCATGGAAAATATTAAGACATAAGTTTGATATCTTGGGCCTAAGGAATTATGGCTGATCAGTACCAGTGTAGATCTGAATTACTATTTAAATACCTTCCAACTTCTGAAGTTTAGACATGTTGATGGTGAAAAGTGAGTAAATTCTTTCTGTCTCTCTATCTCCATCAATCTCAATTTGAGTATCAGCAGGATTTTCAGGAACATCTCTAATTAAAAGGAAAAAAAAAAAACCAAGGAGATGGGTAGTCAATATAACTCATTCTCTAAAAAGTCTGAAAGCAAATAAAAACTGATTCAGTTTCAATATACTTAGTCTTTTATTATGCCTGTCACTCACAGAAAACTTCACAACTGCTACACAAAATTTAGTGTTCATTGTAAACCTTTTACAGAAACAAGAATATAAAGTTTTGAGGGGATTAAGTCTGGACTTTAGCACTTAGCAGTACTAAAAAAGGCCTTTTTTACACTAGAATTTATTATTCAGTACTTCAAGAGTAAGAATATTTTAAAATACCAAAGAAAGATTAACTGTTATTAACTGACAATTAAATGATGCTTTTAAAATTTGAAATACTTGAAAAGTGTCCAGAACAGAAGGGCAAGCTATATTTCTATCAGGACACTTACAGGAACAGAAAGATGAAAACAAAAAGTTATTCAGGAATGGGAAGCTTCTGAACTGATGAGAAACCTAATATATGAATGAAATGAGGAATCTCGAATTATAACACATTCTGCAGAAAGTTTACTAATAGCATTTATTCTGAACTATATTCTGCAAGAATTGAATGCCACCTTTAATCTGTAAGGTATGCAAACTACTGAATTAAGGATAAATTTATTTTAAAAAACAATTACAGCATTTGTTTGCTTGCCAGCAGCTTAAGGAAAGGCATTAACGCATTACAAGATGTTTGTGTAAAACAAGACAAAGTTATGAGTGAAAGTGATAGACTTTCAGACTAAGCCCTACGCTGCAAGCTATTTCAATGGCTTCATATAAATGACCTAGAGAGTGTGTCATATTTCTGCATTAAACTCGGCATCTGAATAAACTTGAGAAAACACTCATCTCTGTTCCTAAATGCACTAAAAGCAACAGCCCTCAAAGAAGAATTATCACCAGTCAAGGTTTGCCACAGGTGTAGCAAATGTCTTCCTTCCAACATGCTCTGCACTCATTATGCACATTAGAGGCCAAAAAGCAAGGAAGATGCTATCAAAGCTGCTTTGGGCTGCCACTGGTACGGTGCAGACTTACAACCAAGGTACAACTTAGAATACTGACAGTTCAGAACACAGATGACAAGAGAGAGAAAGGCATAGCACCAAAACCCTTTTATTTTATCAAGTTGCCACTCTGAAGAAGAAATGCCACAACGTGGTATAACAGAACTGAAATGTTACAGTTTCTCCCAGAGCACTCGGGGGGGAAAAAAAAACCTACAGACTGCTAAGATTTCTATCAAGTACTGATATGGTAGTAGTACACAAGGTAATCTAAGCGTGAAGAGCAGAACCAGCTCTAAAATAGATTATTCAGCATAAAAGTAAAGAGATCAACCTTTCAATGTTTTTGATTTACATGCTGAATTGACTACCTTTAATATTTCATATGATGTCTAATGAAGTACTAGACGTATTAAAAATCTGTACTCCGGGCCTTACTTAATAAGATACATTTTTAGTAGCAAAGTTTGCTGAAATAGACAGTGAAAGCCTTGCCTTCAGGCTCTCAAGTTCTATAGTGAATCAACAGATGATTTTGTCCTACAAAACACACACATTTTTATTTCAGAAGCAACTTACGCAGTGCAACGAGCACAGCCCACTGTGTTCTCTACGGTAGCCTTGCAGCAGAGCCAGTTCCCGTTCAGAAAAGCAGAAGGATGGTAAAAACTAAGTCTCTTCTGGTTGCATCTCGTCACCCGGCAGAGAGCTTCTATCCACTCGCTAGCTTCTACACAGTTATTTGCTTGGATATAGAGTGGCTTCTCTCCATGTAGTACTTGAAACATCTGTAGATGCAACATTATTCTGCTCAGTGAAAGAGTCCAATTATTGAGCAACTCTGAATCTCTTAAAAGTGATCCGAGATCTCTGGCAATTCATCAGACAAATTAAGACAAAAAGTGAGACAAGGGAGAAAAACTTTTCTCTTCCTGCCGACACCTCTCTCCAGTTATACTGCACAGCCCTATTCAGGAAAAAAGACAGCTCCCTGTGTTCTGCCCACCCCACTTCCTCATCCAAAAACCAGAATGCTTAAAGAATCAGAACATGATGCGTTTTCTGTCCTCTTCGTTCACCTAGCTCAGCGTGACATCAACTGCTTTGTGCCTCATATCCTACGAGTAACAGAAAATTTCCCAAAGCCTCCCCTTTAGCCATCCTCAGCCTAAGTAACAGCTGCACTATTATCATTGTCTAAGAACATTGGATTGAAATAATGGCAGAAATACTCATGTTTTACAGGTCCAGAATGAGGCTTTGAGGAAGAGAATTGTCTCTAAACTGACAAAAGGTATTACAGGAAATCCTCATCAAAAGGAATAAATAAAAGTCTGGTAGTATTACATTTCTAATAGAACACAGTATAATATATACTAATAGCAGCTTGCATAAAAGTGATTTGTAATAAGGTCACAATAGTTTTAACCTTCATTCTACAAATTTGGAAAGCAAGGCAAGGCAACAAGTCAATCAGGGCAAAGACCTAAATCTCCAGATTGTCAGTACCATGTTCAGAGTACCAGCTAGTACTGCATACAACTGTTTCTTCTCTTGATCCATCAAAAAGATTTTTTTTTTTTTTGTGAAATGTTTAATAATAGGTTTAAGTAAGCCTATCGTAGCAAACTAAGCTAATTAGAATCTTCTTTCAAGCAACTTTTGACTCACATTTTTCTTGTTGAAGGAGCTCTCATCAAGCTTCTCCACTGCAAGGATGTTTTTGATTGGAATAGTGAAAATTGGTTCTTTATCTGCAAAAATTCATAAATAGATAACGAGAGTAAACCAAAAGGCTATATATTTTTTTAAAATAACTTATCGTATCAGTGCACTGAGTTTAAGTTCACAAAACGTGCATTTTAATTGTTGAGAAAAGGTACATGAATCAGACTATATTCTAATGATAGAGAACTAAAGGACTCACTCAAAGCACAAAGATTAGGAAATAATCTGTCATTTCTCACTGATATATCTGCTTAAGTTAATATGATGCAACCCTAAAGTAATAAACTGAAAGAGAACTGGGCAGTGAGGTAGGCTACAGAATCTGTCATATATGACAGTATAGGGTGCTATTTATTTGGTTGGTTTCATTTTTCAATTAAAAGACATAAAAATAAAAAAATTAAGCTTAGCATGTTTTCTTCTTCTAAAGAAAATAAGAAATGAGATTAATTTTCTTTTTCTAAATTACATCTACCGTTAATTTAAAAAACAGAAGTAAAAGCAAGACTGAAATGCCAAATCCACGCCTAATCTCATAGTTCATCATTACCATCTGAGAAGAGACTGGCGGTCAAAAGACCACCCTGGAGAATCAAAACTGTAGTACGTCCAATGCCAAAACACCTTCCTGTGATCCAGATGCAGGACCCAAGTGAACTACATTGGCACTACACCAGATTATTGCAGGAAACACAAATAAAATGCCTGTTAATGTAATGCAGGCATCAACAAAAACCTGCTTGTTACTCGATACTGACAACCATCATGTACGACAGTCTCACGTGCTTAGTATTGAAGAACATGAAGCAGCTTCAGCAGTTCTGGAATTAGCCAAAGGCAAAATTTCTTTTTTCATTTTTAAAAATAGTAATTTTGATTTATCTGTAAACGCTGCGGTACATGAAATGCCTTCTGGATTTGCTGTATCAGCATCCTGAATAAACTGTAAAGTAAGAATCATCCAAAGAGATGGAGAATCTGACTGTTCTGTACACATTTCTGTATTTCATAGATACGCAACTTCATATTAAAGAAATCTATGAAAATCTTATTCATTTCCAAGGAAAAATTTAAATATAAATACACACACGCACACACATATAATAACGTCTGTAAAACAGAAATGAATAGAAAGCATCAGATGAAATAGGATTTTGCTGATTCAGTCAATGCTGACTCTGTCAAAAACCAAACATTTTGTGAAACAAATTTCAACTAACTTCCAACAAAGCAGATAATAGTTTTCCTGAGGAAACCTCTCTTACCTGCCAGCTCCCTAGCAACCTACTTAGGCTCTCAAAAATCAACTCCAACATGTCCAGCATCAGCATTTAATAAATTCCTTGCTGCAGAAGGAGGAAAAAACGTGTTCTCCAGTTTGCTGCACAGAACTGGAAGTTTCAAGAACCGTAGCTTCAACTAAGGCTCTCAGAGCTGCCAGTATTCCCAGCCTGGAAGCTCTCAAAAACTCTGCTAAGAAGCTAAGAGTCTTGGCTCCCACAGTTTAGACCTTTGAAGGACTGAGACCGTGGATCTCTCCGAGAGTCAGTTATTTTGGTCTTCCAGTCTTAACTGCATACACTAAATTCCAACCATTCTGCTGTAGAAGCCTTCTGCAAGGTAAGTAGGACTCTATGATACAGATGGGAAGCACTTGGAGAACAGGGCAGACATAATTAATACTGTAAACTTTAGGAAAAAAAATATTAAAGAAGCCAAAGTCAGATGCAAATACTTAGGAAATATTGAGAATTCTTCCAACTGTAACAGCTAAATACGAAGAATTATGTTTTGGTTTTGTACAGTAAACAGTCACAAAGCATGAAGTCACTGAAGAGACATGCCACAAACACATTTCTGCAATAGAATTAAATATAAGCGTTTGGTAATAAAAACCGTCCTGTGAAATAAACATAATTTACCTTGTTGTTTGTGGTAGGTGAATTCTCTACTTGTTAGACAGAACCACCGTTTCTTGAAATTCTTTTTACCAATCCGCGTCCTTCCTTGAGCTCTTTTGTACATTTCTCTGCAAAGACAGAATCAAATGAAAATGCTGCCGTTAATCTTTGAAAGAGCTTTCAAAGCCACTTAGCTAAGAAAACACATTATTGTTTGTCATGCAATGACATTAAAATTCTATTAATCAGTTGTTCAGAACAGGTCCTCATGATCACCTCCCATATGGTGATCCATGCACAAGGCTCCGTTAAAAGGCAAGGAGTGAAGAAAAAAAAAAAAAAGCAATTTAGATTCTGTTTGTAGCAGTGAATTTGGGATGGGTTCTTGCTTATTCAGATCCAGAACTGCAAATTTTCCCAAAAGGGAGTAAGGTGTATTCAGATGCGATATTCTCCCTCTCTTCCCCGCACTTTCTACATGCGGAACTGAATACTTTCTACATCAGGAACTGAATACAAATGAAATGATGCTGAACAAGACTCAACAGCAAGAGTAGATACAAATTGTGCTCAGTACTGTTTAAAGCATACTCACTGGAAACTATTGTTTGGAGAAACTGCCATCAGTTTCTGATGCTGATTAGCTTCCGATATATTTAAACATTGACCTACTGCGACTGTCTCCTCCTCCTCTTCTATTAAGTATTTTACTAAGAGGTACATTTGTTTTCATTTTAAATTCAGACACTTGTTTCACAGAGGAATCTGTGATGGCTTTGAATCTCTTCTCAGGTGAATACAAATCCTCCCCCACCACCCAAGCACACACACAAACGTTGGCTGAATTAATTTACTAGCTATTCTCGACCAACATCAGAAAAGACAGTTTGTTCGTTTCTTAGAAGCAGCCACTTTTGCCACAATTTCTATAGAAGCTTTCTACCATTTACTGCTAAATATTCCAATTACAGGATTTTTTCCCCCTATAATAAGGTGCCCAGCTAAGCTTAAACATCACACAAATCAATTCTACTTTAAATGAATTTTGTGTTATCTTAAAATACATTTTAATGGTTCTGAGTAAATGATCAGAGCACACATTGAATTACAGCAAAAATGCAGACTTTAAAAAGTTTTAAATTACCTTTAAATTTTTTTCTACAATATTTAGAAGGTGAATTATTCAGTTTTGCAGCAAAAGCTGCAAACTCTGCAAACTAATGCAGAATTAGCACAAATAGAAATATATTATAGTAGAAATCAAACATTTCGTGTACCATAATTTAACATTGGCATTAATGAAAAACAGGTAAGTCACATCTTGAATCTGAGAAACAGAATTATTTACCCTTCTTTTAGATGTACTGGCTCACTCAGACCACTGGGCTCTCTACTTTCAGTAGAGGAAACATCATCTAGGAACTTAAAAGAAAAATACAAGGGGAACATATAGTACTTGATAAAACAGAACAAACTAAAGCTATTCTGAAAACGCATGCGTAGAGTTTCTCCCAGTAAAGAACAACTATTTTGGATTTTGGATAACAGATGAAATGAAAATACATTGCAGGGTCTTGAAACAAGGTAAGAAGGGATGTCCACAAATTACAGAAGATTTCTGTAACTAGCTTCTGAATGGCAGATCTAATAAAGCCTGTTCCAAGTGACTTGCATTTAATACACAAATGTTTTTTCTAAACTGAATTAGCTAAGCTCATAATGTGCAAGTCCTATGTGCATTCTATTGCATGGATGGTATTTTTAACACCTAGAATGGATCACAAGAACATTTTCGCATTTCTAGTAGAAAACTGACCAATAACACCACAGACAATTACTGAGACTGGCCTGTGTTCAAATGCACCAACCATACAAAAAACAAATCTGTAAGTAGACAGATACCTTTTTAACAGATTCAGTAAACTTTTCCTCTTGAAATGTTTTGAAAAACTCGCACATAAACGTCTCCTTGAAACTTGACTGAAATAAAAGGTATATAGACATTAAATAAACTTCTAAAGAACGTAGTCTATGAAACAAGACAGAACATTAGTAGTCTTACAAGTTTGCTTTTGGTCAAACTTCCCCAACTCCCCAAAGTCTGGATGGCTTTTGATATAAGAGTTAATGTTCTTGAAGTCTGTGCATCCTAGAATAAAGAAAAGAAAATTGAGAAGTTATATTACATATTTGGATAACTTCAGATAATACTTTGATTTAAAAATGCACATTTCACAAACGCGATTATATTACAAAACATAGTCTGACAGACATATTTATTCCTTTTCTTCTTCTCGCAACGGGAAAAAGTGCATGTGCAGCATGGTTCTATGGTGCTTCCTATGCTTTGTGTATATATGTAAAGATTACTGCACAGAGTGTTTTATTTTTTTAAATTTTATTCGTTATCACTATAATTTATTATTAGTGAATGACAAAATATTTTTCCCTGTGAAACATCTCAAAAGCTCCTTCAAATTATTACCATCTAACGCTCCTGAAACATTCAAAACTGAATACTAAAGATAATGAACTTCTGCTGATGAATGGTGGAAATTTTCATAATACAAGCCACACTTAAAAGTTTGTCTTTAAAGCTTCTGCCTAATTTGTTTACCACATCCCTTCTTGTATTTTAACATAGGATTATAAACAGCCAGAGGGGCCTTACTGATCCCTTTAAGATGTTCAGTACTCAAGTGATAAATTCCACTAATCCTCTTTTACTATAACAAACTGCATAATGTTAAATGACTGAATGATTCTGAGTAATAAGATGCTATTTTTGAAAATACTGCACACAAGTAGATAAATTAAGCAAATAAAAATAGCCTCAGGAGCAGATGGTTTCATACATATTCTGTATTTTATGTGAAAATACTACTATATTTTTTTCTTATCTTCCCATTTTTGGTCTTTAAAGTTTTCTATTTAAGTATGTCTATCTGATTTTGTACACACATAATAGGCCTGTGTCCACTATTACAACTACAGCAGGATTATTAGATTACTAACTTTATTACTATTATGTTGAAAACTTGGCAAGACAGTACAACTAGTGAAGTCCAGAATAAACGTACAGACCAGTTATTAGATAACTCCACAACCTCCATTTAACATGCAACTGAAAGAATGTTTAAAGACACGTCTGGATAGTTAACTCCCATGGTGGAAGGAATCAACGGAGTTTAGGCATATGCCTTGAAGAAACCCCAGTCATGCTGCCGTTCTAACAAAGAAGCGCCTCCCCACCCCAGGCACATCATTTGAACTGCAAAAGCCTTAGTTCCTCTGGTGCGGAACAACACAGAAAAGTCAACCTACACACATTGAGTAATCTTACTTTATTTCTCAGTTACAGAGCCAGTGAAAGTAACTTGTGCCTCCCCAGATAAACAGATCTGAAAGTTATGAATAAAACAGAACAATACTTTACAAAACTTACTGGATGGTGAGGTCGTAAATGAAAAGTATGAGGTGAGACTACGGCTACAGCAAAGAAACGAAGAAACACAAAGCTGCTCACTGCAGAATACTGTACATGAGGGTCATCTGCAGAGAAAAACCATGAAATGTAACATGCACTAACTTAAAGAAACAATGAAGACAGTCAACATAAAAATCCTTAAGAAGATAACGTCAGAGAAGATATTTATACTTTAAAGTAGAACAGAAAAAAAAAAAAATCAATGAAGCGCATGAAATGAGAAAGGTGACCATGGTAAGTAGCGTTCTACCTACAACAGAGGGCTTATTTCTCTTTAAAAAGCAGCTCTGCTTTCATAGAACTGGCTCATCAGCTCCCCTATTAGTAACAATGTGATTGTCACAAGCACTTACATACACAGTGCTGATCACATGAGGCTCTAAGCATTTTGAACTTAAAGAAAAAATATAGTAGCAGCTGGCTTTAAACATTAGGGCTATCGAGTTATTCAAGCTTAAGTTATCAATAAACTGAAATACATGAAAGCTATACAACAAATGCAGTCAACATATCTGAACAACTTTAACTCCAACCTTGAGATGCATCATAAAACCATGGTGTTATGCAATTCTGATGCCGTAACTGAGCATTTCCTCATCTAACATTTATTTTTGGGTATTTTACGCCTTTATACACAGCAATGTAGTGGGATCACATTCTTACTCTAATGACCACGTCAGTCTGCTCTGTCTGAGAAGCTAGCTTTTCTGAAAGGAATGTCTTAACTGGAAGAATTTATGGCCTCAGTTCCAGTGACAAGCATGAACCAGAGGAAGGCCCCAGAAGTTCATCTGTTAGCCTATCACATAATATTTTAGGTTTTAGTTGACTTTTAAATATCTGAGTATTTCAGATGCAGCACACTATCTGAAATGTAACCAGTATAAGAACACTTTTTTAGAATGAATTTTAACATAGAAATATTACAAGCCCCCCCGCCAACAAAACTTGTGCTCTTAGTCTCCATTTAAAGCTTTACTACTCACATGATGAATGTGCTAGTCATAGTGAAGAGCTGTAATTCATTTAGTTAGATGAAAATACCAACTTTATTTTCCTTTTTATTGTCTTTCTTATTTAGAAGCAGTAAACAGCTTCCAGCTCTTAAATTTTAAGCCTCTTTTAACTAAATCCTTTCCCACATTGCTTCCGTTTTTCTTCTGGTATCTCATCTTTTTACTTTGGTTCCTTGCTTGCTAGTGTCTTGCAGCACTTCTGACCTGTTGCTTCTTTGCATCCGAAAATAATTCTTGCCAATTGACCACAATGCTTTAGTGTAACACACAAACTGATAGAAAAACAAATGTCCGTTTGTCAAGTAGTTCTGGGCACAGTCTCAGATAAAACAGTAATTTTAACAATCCCTTTAAGGTAACTATCGGCATTAAGTAGTTCATACACAACACTATTTTCAAAAGTAAGAGCACACTTACTTGGAAATCTTTTGGCAGCCAGATGCCTCAAAGAATAAAAAACATCACACATTAGGGTAGGACAACTTATACTTGACCGCACAATTTCACGGAATACTTTGTCTACATAATAGCGTAGATTTTCCTGTAATTATAGGAAAAGATATTTTTTCAGACTGTTAAGGCTTTGCTATGCCTTTTTTCCCTGAATGCAAACATAGCACTACACAATACCCATTTATAAAACGTTCCCCGACTATTTGAATATGCATTTGACTATAGTACATACTTTAAAAGCTTCATATAATCTTTATGGGTTTACTGGTGTTAAAAGGTAATTTGATGATATTTGCTTAATTTTTAACAGAAGGCATCCTGAATGTCTACTAGCAGTTTCTGACAATATAGCACTCTATTAAAATACATTTTTGTAATTTGACAACATGCTAGAACGAAGGAGAACACTCATAGGGATGCACAGGTAGTTATCTAACTTGCTGCAGCTACTATTGCTTTTAACGTCATCCTCTGATAAGAGACAAGTGGCAAGCAAAACTTCAATGAAAAGTGTTAAAGCAGCGCTGTTTAGCTACTTTACTATCTGGATGTGGCACATGGAACACTAGGCATCACAGCACACAACAAATTGGTAAGTAAGACTGTAATCCTCTGCTCAGCTCCTCCTCCCTGTTCCATTAGCAAATTAATTTCCCGTCGCTATTTTCATACGCAGGGATACAAAAATTCAACTGTGTTCTTTCTTTGCATCAGTCATTAGGGAATGATACTGCTATCATAAACGGATTAACTTACTCATTCTCTGTTACACAGAGCTGCTTTTAAAAGTGTCTGTATCATATTTTTAGAAAATTTCAATTATGGAAAACAGATTAGGAAACTCACCATATGAATGTCTACGTTATCACCTTCTTTTAGCTTGATGGGATCTATTTCACAGGGTTTTAGAGACTCGCATATCTGAAACAAAAACAGAATTAAGAGTTCCTTTTTAAAAACTTTTTTTTTTTTGGACAGAAAGCATGGAAATACATCTATTTACTATTGGATTCTGTCCTAGATCTAGGGGGAAAACTCTAAATAGCGCCTGAACAATCCATAACAACATGCAGTAATCATCCTCACTTTTCTGTGTGTGCCTTCGCATGTAAAACAATTACACAGGCATCACGTCGGAAAATTTAGCAGTGAGTTAGAGACTGGAACAACTGTCATTGACTATTTATTTTCGAGTATCTGGAACACAAATAACAAAAAGCAACTCCTCCCACTAAATTTAGCAAATTAGTGCTCAACTTAACTTTCCTCTAGAATTCCTCCTCCTAGAAGATTACTATGATACAGGGAATTACAAGAAGGCTGCCTATCCAAGAGGCAGGATACCTCAGGAGGCTATGTCTTGCAAAGTTTCAGCAAGATAACCTACCTCATCAAGAACTGGTTTCAAAGTAACTTTTAGGTAGTGCCTCCCCACTATTTTCATCATTTCATCTACACATCGAGTTGCTAAGGTGTTCCCTCTGAAGACTGTGTTTGCTTCTCTGCAAGAAGAGAATAAACGTTATCTGAACGGGAGGAGCTCAGTCACAAAACCTAAGGAGCTCAGTCACAAAATCTAATTAATATTTTATCTCGCTGTTAAACAAATTTCTTTTAAACATACATCAGGAATTTCTGAACGTAGATATCCAGGTTGCAATGGCATCCATGAACAAGGAGGGGAAAAAAACCAAATAAACAAACACCCAGCCCACATTATTACAGCTATTTCCAAAACCAGTAAGGTAAAACCATTCAAAAAAGTCTGGAAAATTTATGGTAAAGGAAGTTATAATCCAACGCTGAATGTGAAAAAGAAACAATTTGAGAAAATTCCAAAATAATGAAGACTTGTGGCTGACCAGTACAATCTTAATACTCCAGTGCTCCTGGTGAGCAAACGATTAGAGTTACAATAAATAGCATACTACTGCACCATATCGATACACTCAGGCACTTTTCAACCAAAACCACATTTACTCTAGGGTTGTGCTTTTCAGTCAGTGTAGCTGAAAAAAACTAAGTCGGCTGTACATTCACTGGCAAAATAAGTCTGTCTGATCTGATGTATTTGCTGTAATCTTTCTTAGTTACAGTGCAAATATAACAGAAAGGAATGTGTGCACCAAAATGCAGTGCAAAAACTTTTTTCATGCAAGTTACTTCTTTTTATGTAGTTAGTTGTCTCAACTTATTGAAATCTGGAGTAAGTCAGCTTTGCAAGGAAGCACCCCGTGGTGATAAAATCCCTTCCACAACTGCACTGGACATGACTCAGCATCTCAGTGGGCACTACTTAGCTCTAACCACAGAGCTGCAAATCCATGGACCATACATTGCTACAGATGTAAAAACGTGGAAAAACTCCTTTGGTGGTAGTTTCAAGCACAAAGGAGAGCACAACACTTACAGGGCACCTTCGAAGAAAAACAGTACCCTTCACGTAAGTCATGTACTCAAGGAAACGGGATGAGATTCTTAGCAATTTAAAAAATATTAAGTATCATTCCAGCAGCCACCAAAATTTGAAGCGTGGCCAAATGCTGATATTTTAAAACAAAAAACTATTTGCTCTTGGACACAACTCTAGTTTGCTACATTTACCTGTACACCAGCTCCAAAAAAGTTTTACAGACAAATGATTCCATCTGAAATAGCACACTTCATTAGTAACGCTGATCCCCAGCTTCAATGTGATTTTAGTAAGTGTTTTTATAAATCAATATTAAAAAAAAGGAATGTATTTAGTCAGTTTTCAATAGTGCAGAAAGGAAATCTGACATGCCTACTTATCAGTGTTGTATTATGAAATCCTTTGACATTCTAATAAGTAAAATCAGCATGAAATCACTAAACATGAAATACATACTGGGTGTCCTTCAGATCTAGCTCTGCCACTGCAGTGACAAATGGAACTAGCTTATGGTGGTGTAGCAACAATCTTACAAGAGGCAGAACAGCATCACATTTGTCTTGACATACTTCACTCAAAATGTAGGCAGCAGATGCAGAAATTGGCTGTGAGAGCAAAAGAGAAATCACGAATGAAGTAACAGAACGTTCTACTTATATTTGGCAAACTGCAGATCTGCATCAAATCTAATAAAAACTACAGACACAGCTTCGTCACAAAAAATTTTAATAGCATTTGCTGTATAACGTGACAATTACAAGTCTCCATTCTATAGAAAAATTTAATTGAGAAGGGCTATTATCTACTCAAATATTCCTGATATTCAAGTGTTTCTGAAATTCAGCATCTACGCATGTTTCCTGTTTTCCCCAAAGGATTAGAATATAGCTTTGTCACAAGTCCAAATAAGAGGCAGTAAGCACCTGCATGGCCATAATGTAATGTCTTTATAGGACCTGAGTCAAAGAGACTGCATCTGACTCTGCCACTAGATACGCTCAGCTCTTCTCGAGTTACAGTGAAGTAGCTTTTGAGTATTGTTAGCACAAATTTTAGTCAAAATCCGATTCCTGTTTACCTTCCTTCTCCTCTGATGACACTTCACGTAGGTTAAAGAAGTGTATAAGGACCTGGAAATATAAAGTCTAGTTGCTATGATTTGATTCCCAATTCACAATGCTATGCTAACCATCTACCACACTTCCCTTTGTCACTATGCCCAAGTGAGAAATCCAGGTATGTTGAACACCACACTGGGGAAGGCAGAAACAATTCAGAAGAGGTGGAATTAGAAACCAATTCTGAAGCAGACCACTTTTGGCAATGGCGAATATCTTCCCCTTCAGTGCCAATAATGGATCAACATCCTTGGAAAACCACTAAATCCAGTGAGGCCAATAACATCCAGTGCCAGAAGACAACATTGACAAGAGGAAACAACAAAAAACTGCTATTCGCACAGCACAGGTTACTTCACTTTTCTCTGCTTGTTCCTCTAAAGTAAGAACAGAAATTAAGTGTTTTGGAGAAAGAAACGCTCCAAAAGCTGCTCACCTTGCTGTGACAGGACTAACTAACGCAAAGGAATGAAAAAATACTATAGATGTACTTATTTCCAAGTATAGTCTCTTACAAGAGGGCATGATCCATTTTTAAATCTTTGTTTTAAAAGAAATTTTCAATGGAAGTACCTGAACATCTGGTGATTTTAGCAGCAAGTTTCTTAAAGAAGCATAGTATTCAGATGGAAGTACATAGTCTTCAGTATAACAAATATTTAATCTAAGTGATCCCAGATCATCAGTTTTAGAAGACTTGTTTCCATTTTCTCTTGGTTGAAGTAAGTACCTGAAAGCAACAGAATTTACATTTCATTCATTTGTCTGATTTTACTATAAAGTATGTTTAACTATTTCAGTGCACATTAACTCAGTCTGAAAACTGACAAAGAAATTCACTTTAAAAAAGAAAAAAAAAGGGAAACAAAATTGTTGTTTATTCCTAACAAAGTAGCAGCATTTGGTGCACTTTCAGCACATAATAGAACATACATTCATTTATCCTTTCTTTCCCAATAGAGAAGTAATATACATTTCTTCTAGCTCAGCTGGGAAAACATGAATAGTCAGAAATGCAGTTGGACCTTCTCATACTATATCTAGGTTATATTTAGAGTAAGTGTCAGACATTACAGATGGAACATCTAGAATCAAGAATTTAAATGGTCTAGACTGAAACTTGTAAAATACATTAATATTAGCAGGCCGCATTCCTGAGGAAAAAAAGTAAAATTAAAACAAAAGGTTTTTAATGCTTTTATGTGCTTTTTCCCCTACTCTTAAAACAAAATATATTAAATCTTCATTGGCTTTTGATGGAGTTCAATTGTATTCCAACAGGAGGTGCAGCCCTATAAAAACATTAACAGCTTTCAAGTAGGCATGTGTGTCACAGGTTATGTTCAACGTTATATCTTAAAATATTATTTTCAATAATACTTTTTTTAAAAAACAAAAGTATATTTGTACTTTTACAATCAGACTTTTTTTTAAAAGAAGTCTTTGCCAGAAGAGATCCTTCTCCTGGACATTAGGACCCTCAAGCTCATTTTCCCAATACTTAGTACTAGTAATACCATTTTTATCTGCTGTGGTCCAGCTATCTTCTAAAGATCCTCCTAAAACATTTTATGCAAGTTAGTAAACGTCTAAAACAAACAAAACAAAACACTAGTTGTTTTTATCACAGTACTGTTTTCGATAAATATATCGTTATCGGATATAAGGATTTGCTCATGCAAGGCACGTCTACAAAGCATACTAGCAGACACAAACCTCTCTATCCATGCTTCACGTCAGCTAGATACGAGCCAGATAACTCAAAAGCTATATGAACGCAATATGGCGATAATGCGTCCATGCTAATAGAACCTCTCCTAACAGGCTGCTGAGGCATGTCATTATGTGAACACGGTCGCACAGCTTTTGATCAGCTCACAATGTAGGCAGAACGAGCCTGCGTCTGCCTGCGATACGCTACATAAAAAATTGACAACACTGACACAAACAAACAACAATGTGATCCGTTAAGTAAAAAAAAAACATAATAAAACACTAAGATTGGCAAAGAGTGTTCAACTTAGACATGTCTAAGAGCCTTGGAGACTGACTGAGAGGGGTAGGTGGAGCATAGCCATAACCGTTCCTGTCTGAGACCCGTGTTCCATTTAGTTCTTGTTTCCTCACTTCCTTCCTGTTTGTTTTCTACATGGATATATGAGGGTTGTGGTTCTTCCGCTCCTCCGCTGTCTTCTCCGAACTGAAGGGTTCACCAAAAACAGAATATTTTGCACACTTAAAGGCCTTTGAGTCTGTCTTGCTTATTATTTCTGCCACTAGGCCTTTGGGATGGTAAAGGGGCTGGAGGCTGGCTCTTGCCTGTAAGATCTTTGGAAGAGAGGCTGCTACAACGTCATAAGCAGAGGGTTTTCTTCCTAAATTCCCTTCATACTCACTTGAAAGCTGGAAGGACAAGGTATGTCAGCTCTCTTGAAATGACATAGGTTTGGTTCCAGAAGAGACCCCCTCTGCCTCCCCAAGAAAAAAAAAAAGCCATATGGGCTTTCATCAATTGTTCTAGAAGTCTGATTCAGTAAGTTAAATACAAGTAACGCAATTCCAGGTTTCCGGGTTAAAGCTGAAGAGCATTCACAGATTCACCAAAATTCAGAAAGCTGAGCGAGTCAGTTAGGCTCAGTGTGACAGCTTGTTATTCTCTCTAATGGAAATAGTTTTTTCCTCCTAACTTCCCTTTCTTCAGCATTTGCACTTAACCCTCAAACACATTAACTATAACTATTTTGTGTGCATGGGTAAATTGGGGGAAGGGGAGAACTACACATACAGTCTGGCAAGGTTAATTTATTCAGCAGAGAAACCCTTTAGAAAGGCATTTTATGCTGTGCACCTTGCATTTACAGAATTCTAACCTTATTCAGATGAACTAGACTAGAATAGTTCACATAGGAAGACAATTTTTTAATGAATAATAAAATATAGCCTTTATAAGGGAAGATAAGCAAGGTAGAATCAAGTTCACTTGAGCCATTTCTCACCATGCTTGAAAGGAATCGTTTCTTAACACCTTCACAGGAACTTTAATTTCTCCTAGAAAGACATCTTGTACCAGATTTCCATTGTTCCAAAGGTCAACCCTGAAAATAAGAACATTACTCAAGTAAGAACGTTACCCCCAGAGACACAGAAAAAAAATCTTCAAGTTACTAGTAACTGCCTTACAGCAATAATCCACATGCATGCAGGCAGGAAATGTTAGAAATCTCACTCCATTTTAAATATATCAAGAGGAATCAAACAAATGGCTTATTAACCCATAAAGACTAGATGAAGCAACAAACAGTGAAAGTTAGAACCACAGATCTCACATCAGTAGAAAAGTGATATTGTCAATATATACGTATTTTGAACAGTCTCCGCCCCCAAAACTGTCCACGTTTCTTCTCAAATAATTCAAGTGAAATTTTTAACCAACATATTTACGTATCCCTATCTTACTGCTAAAATCGGGCACACTGCAATGCCACACCAGCACATGCGCTTGTTTTTCCAAACAGCAGCTCATGTTTATAACCTTAAAAGGAATCACAGACTCCAAAGACATGCACCTTTTTTCTATTACTTCTTACCTCTCTGATATTTCTGATAGACAGCAGATGTTAAGAAGAACAAAAAAAATTAATACTAGATTTGTTGGGGCATGACTGTTTTTCCAAATCTTATTTGCATCTATAATGAAATATACAATTCTAATTAAGAAGTTTATGAAGTTAATTAAAAATTCATATACCAAGTTAGTTCTATAATGGCTATTAAAGTCAAACACTGCATTCTTCTTCTGTTGTCTGTTGGAAAACATATGCTAGCCTTGAATTGAAGACTTGTTGCCATTCTCCAGATTTGGGGGGGGGGGGGGGAAGGGTGTGTGCATGTGCGTACATTTGAGAAAAGCTGAGCGTAGGGGCTCTCAACTCAACTGTGAAGCACAAACACAGACAGACCTGCTCTAACGGTGAAGGAGCAGAAAAAGCAGAATATACAATGAGGTATTCTTTACATCTGCAAGGAAAAGATGCAACACATGTGTTCTCCTAAAGAGCAATGCCAAACCATAAGAAGGTCACAGAAGAGGCTTTTCCCTCTATTTTTTGAAAATAGCCAATCATATTTGAAACCACAGGCTAGCCTCGGGTGTCATCCCTCATTACAAGTCCTATTATCAATAATCTGTCCAAATTAGTATATATGAACAGGAGGCCCTTGTGACTCTCTACTCAGAGGCAAAGGAAAAAAGTTCAGGCTGCTAGGTATACTCTACCACTATTTAATAATAACAATAAAAAAAAAAAAAAGAGTAACTTCCAACTTCTGTAAGCAACACACTACAAGATTTGGGTGATTTTCTAAGCTAGAAGGGTGGTTTTTATTTTTATTTTTAAAAAACAAGTCTGACCATTAATTCTCTGGAGTTAACTACAATAAAACCTTTATCATCTTGAAACCTTTATTAATGATGCAATAAGTCACTTTCTAATCTGCATAACCTACCTGACCTCCAATTTCTCAATATCTTCTTCTTCCACCTGAAACTGGGACTTTTTGGTATAACTGCTGGACCTGGTTACCTGGAAGTAAAATCTTCCTATTAACAAACTCTTTACTGTCTTATTTAGTAAGTTAACAAGACAAAGGAAATCAAATCTTTAACATTGTCAAGTAGCTACTGTTCCTTTTCTAAGCAAAAAGTTTAGTTCACCAAGCAAACTGCCTCTTGACAGAAACTAGGTGAAAAAGGGGACAAGAAGGCCTCATGAAGACTATCCGAGATCTAAGACAGCTATAATAGCTCTATTAGAAATACAAGAAAAAAAATTACAAAATGAAACTGGAAAGACTTTCTTTGGTTCGAGCACAAGCCCCAAGAAAGTATTAAAACCAGTCTTGAGATGCTTAAAGAAACAAACAAACAAAAAAAAGTCCACTGCTCTTGCCCTGGACCACCACAGTTTGCAGTCTCTTGCTTTTCATTCTTTCTCACTTCTCGACTGACTGCATTCTCAGTTTAACTCTCATAACTTACAAGTCCTAAAATTACTGGAATGTTTTTAAAACACATTTTCATCCTAATATCTAACTTCCCAACAAATCATGTCCAGTATCTTTAACATGGCAACTGAAACACACTCCGTATGCGATACTCTATACGCAAATATGGAACAGTTTCTCAATGGAGTCACACAGCAGGATCAGGATCTATATAAACATAATAAATTATCATACATTTGGGATATGGGTAATACTTTTACTACTTCAAACTCTCTGCTGAACAGTACAGTATGCTTATATGTAAATCTGTAAATGCCAGTTTTCAGAGTTTTTTTGTTCCTCTGCATCATTGTCAGTATTACTGATTTTTAGCTGGAAGCCCTACACCTTTGCAGTGCAACAAAGCAGCACAAAAGAACATTTAGATATCTGTGGCAGTTTTTCCAAGCTCTGAAGTAAAATTCAGAGTCCAGTAGAATGTTTTGTAGGAGAATATGAACTAAACTGTATATTAATTTTCACTACAGAGACAAATCAGATAAGGAATCAAACTTATAATTTTGTTACTGTAGGATAACCCAAGTGAAATTGAAAACATATCCTAAACAACAAAAAAGTTAGTGTGTTATTTTAATCAAATCATAAGATTATCCTTTATTGGATATAACTGCTACACTGTTTCATTAAGGAAATAAGTATTTCTTTTAGCTGTAGGCGCTTGAAAATATTTAGAATGAGTTCCACAAGACAGGCTCAATTTCTCTCAGAACTCCTCCTGATGGCAACAGACTATATACAAAGTGGTTCAAGATAATGAATTACTTTCACATATATGCTTATTAGAAAAAGTCATTTCTACATGGCTACTGAAGGGGAATGCTACTGCCCAGCAGTCCCCAGCACCGTAAGTGCATCCATTCACTTATATTTGAGGGGCTTGTTATAGCTCTTTGGTTTGTTTGCAGAGAGCCTTCTGCATTAGGTACTCCTATGCAGCTTTTTAAAAACAGTTGAAAGGGTGCTTAAAACAGATAAACAGGCAGAACATCACACCAGGTTAGAGCTATACATTGACAAAAAGTTACCTCAAAATAAAATGTTTCGTTAAACTGCGGATTGCTTGTTTTCTTCTTTACTTTGGTCTTCTTTTGGTCATTCCTGTTCCAATGTGGTAAAATTTTTACCATAGACAACTTAAACACACAATTATAAAGACATTCTATTGTCAAGAAGGGCCCATGCATTTAAGTTAAAATGATTTTTGTCATTTTAGAGGTCATTCAATCACTGAGGAGAACATTAACAAAAAATAGCTTGAAAAGTTGAAATTTCAAGAACTGCATCTATTTAAATGTGCATCTGTCCAGTCTGGCATTTATGTTTCAGTTCACAAACATAACAAACACCTATCAACTTAAGTATATCAGCAACTTCGGAAGCATTTCAAATTTAAATCTGCAAATAATTTCTTAACCACTGCCTGCAGGTTGTCAGCAGAGTTCTTGTGGTCTTGTTCAACTGCCAATTTCTATTTTTCCCATCCCTTTCCGGTGGGAAAATACCTACTAGTTCTTTACAGAGAGAGGCTTAACACCAAGGGACCGAATGTTTTCTTTGGAAGAAATCACAACTAGCATTAGATGCCAAACAGCATAAGGACAAACAAAACAAACACTCCCCACTCCCCTGTATTTTATATAGATAAAACATGTTCAAAATTTCACATGTTGAAAGAATAAATTCTTACGTAGCTAATAAATGGTTTTTATAACATAGAAGTGTTTTATAGAAGAAACAAGTATAAAATGGTAAGAAAAACAGATGAGGGAAAGGAAAAAAAAAAAAAAAAAACGTATCCTGAACAACCACTAACTGTTTTCAGGAGAGGCATTAAGCGTATAAATATTCCACTCATGGTGCATGAGTCACACGTGAACGATACTGGAAAATTTTAACGAGGAGCAGCTTCTCTCAGATATGCACATACAATCCCATATTAAGAGGATAAATACTCGCATGAGACCAACCTTCACTCAGTTCCTTTTGTATAACAGGACTCAAACAGGAAATATATGTCAATTTGCCTTCTTTGGCAATCAAGACCATGCTTCCTAGGTATAATGACAGAATTCTCTTAAAAACAAACAAGCAAACAAAAAACACTGAACAAATTTGATTGTCCACTACTAGGGAGGAAAAACGCCCCTTCACTTGGAGCTTCTCCAGGAACAATTCTGCCAAAGTCTTTAAAACATACAAGCTTACTAGAAAAGGTACTGGGTTCAAAGAAGCAATTCTTCAGCACCACCAGAGAAAGTGCTAACGGATTTGTGTTTGAGGCTGCAAAAAAGAAACAATGTAAACCTAACTTACTTCAGATGCTATTTGCTATTCAGATGCTTGCTTCAGATCAGGGTGGGACATGGGATTTTCCCAAATAAACAAACAGAAAACACCCCACAGTTATTCAGGATTACTGATCCAAAAAGGGAGGCAACATTTAAACTATGGGGACTTCGAAGGTGGCATCCGGAAGCCCCAACATTAGAAAGGTCTCAGCAGAGCCTCCCCTCTCTTGCTTTCTCCCAATCCCTAAACATTTGCTGCAAAAAACTTGATGCATTAAGAAAATCAGAGAAAAGGAGGTGGTGAACAAGTAGTTATCCACATTGTCCTATACATTAATTTGACAAAAAAAAAAATCAAAAAGTTCAGTGCAAAAATCTGAGAAGTAAGAAGGAACTGAGTGACAAGTGGTCCTGGATTAGTGCAGGCTGTTCAAGCAGATCAAACACTCACAATCCTGAGTATGGTAGGGAAGGGGAGCGAACAGTAACAACCGAGTACGTGACGTATGCCGAAAGCCTTTTAAGATTTGTTCTTCTGAACAACAAAACATAATGCTATAATTTAGCACCTCTGTATTTTAAAAGTTTTTAAGAAAAACTATCACTCTCTTTTCCAGTTTAAGATTATAACATTTTAGATTCATTTATTTTATACTAAAAACATTACCTGGAAGGACCCACAAGAGAGACTGTTGCATAAGGGTCACAATTCTGTCCATTTATAAGAGGCAACCCGTGGCATTCCTTTATGCTAAAAGGAAAAGGGAAGCAGGACATCAATGAATCAATATATTGGGCAGGAGGAGAAGACACACCAAAAGAACCCCTAACAATCCTTTCCTTTAAGCGTGTCCTGCCATTGATGCATTTTGATCTAACATAATAAAGGCACAGAAGGTGGGTCATGACTACAGATTCCCGGATGATAACATGAGGTAACATTCAAGTATACAGTCAGACTTAAGCAGCTCTTTGAGAACAAGATTCTTGGAATTGCTTAGAGGAAAAATATTCCAGTATCACAATCACAAATGCATAGTGAAATTCTAAGTAAAATGAGTTAGAAGAAAAAAGAACCTCTTTGAACCACCACCGCAACAACATTACTAGCAGCGCAGTTGGGTCAGCAAGCTGGTTAACCTTCAGGTAATACCCAAATATGAGAGCTAGAACAGCGAGAACAATTTGTAATCTTCAGGCAGAACGCAGGCTTTCTAGGAAAATGGTGTTCTAATACAGCCATGTTCCCATCAGTATTTACGTCCAAAAACATTTAGCAGATTATGAATTTCATAAGTAAATAAGACACAAACAAGGTCTGAATGTTATTTTCCTGTTTTTTTTAAATATATAATCTATGGTAAGAACTTAACTAAATTGATGCAAATAAGCTTTGGTTGCCATAATTAGCTAGTTTGAATAAAACCCCAACTCTACGCAACTTAAGGAGAAAGTAGACTTTTTTGCAAAGTTCATAATCAAGTACATTTTCTAAATGCTATGATTCAGAAGAATAAGTTGTACAGCAGTTTATGACATTACTGAAAGCAAAGCAAGTTTAAGGAAGTTACATAGCAGCAAGATAAGACTAGGTATGTGTTGTTGTTAAGCAAATACCTTCTGTACTGTAGAAAAACAACATCAGAAGAACATCAAAAGGTTCTAAACGCAAACACTCACAAGCTGGGAAACAGCAGACATAACACTCCTGCTTCAACTTTACCCTCTTTGGAGGGCGCACTATTATAAACCAGATACTATTTTCGCCCTAAAAAGTCCCCTTGTCTTTGCCAGTTCAGGGAACATTAAGCGCTTAGCCCCTGCACAGTCATTCGGTATTCTTTCTTCCAGCTTTTAAGCATGCGGCCTTGAGCATTTTAATAATTTCTGAATCACAGAGAACCCTAAAATGACTACAAATCCACGGATTTAAATGGGTTCTTGAAACAGCCAGATGTCTCACAAACATTAATTGATTCCTCCTCCAACACATCTATGAAACAGAAGAACGGTGTCAAACTTAAACTGTCTAGACTGTTCAGTCATTTGGGGTATCTGATTTGAGACAGCTAGCACTTGATTTTTTCAGACTATTGGGCATTATGCAGCACTAAACACACCAAATATCTGCAGCTCACAAAAAATTTCAGTTTCAGGTGTAAAGTGCTGAGTGCTGTACCTGTAAGGTAGCCTCAACTTAAATCTCATAGGAAACTCATAGCAGATGGACCAAGTCAAATCTGTCTGGTATTTTAACCAGGAGAACATAATTTCTCTTCCTACAGTCTCCTGTCTGATGTTCACTGTGCTTCTGGATTTTTCTAGCACAAAGACCCAGGCCATACAGAAACCATCTTCTTTCACTATGTTTTAAATTCATTCTCTGATCTCTGTATGACCTACATACTTACAGATAAGGATCCTGTGGAAAAAACATGTATATGATCATACCATGAAAAAACGATCACAGTGCATTACTTTGGATTACACAAACAGATTGTTCTGGCCTCTCCTGTCTTTTGACAGCTTGACCGCAGCATACACAAAAAAACTTGTTTTCGATTTCCTGCAAGTTGAAAAACACTTTACCAACAACCACACAACCCTGTAGCAGAACTAGAATCTCCAGATTCATCACACAGACCTGTCACCTCCAGCTAATTTCATACTACAGTCAGTCTCATTGCGTGGGCAGTTCTAGCATTCCCTTTTTATCTCCTGCCCAAATCCTGGTTTTGTTGCCAGCAATAAGTTCTAGCTAGCCTAGGCAGCCTACCCTGTTTCAACACCCCAAAAAACAAACAATGTCCCAGTCCACTGGACTATCAAGTTTCTAGTATCCCTCAAGTTTTCCTTGCCAGATCCAGCAAATTCAGCAATTTGTTCCTAGCTCACTCAACCTCCTTTCCTTCCAATTCTCAGTCTAAGCTACCCAGTTGCAACCATCCCTTCATTTGCCAAATACTGCCTAGCGATTTAACAGTACAGCTAAGCCAACCTAACTGAACCAAACAAGCAGTCCTCCTCCTCCTCCTCCTCCTCTTACCCCTGCCTTGCATCCATCACCTGTGATGATTCTGCTTGCTTATCTTACAGAAAGCTGTTTGGGTTTTGAGCCAGTTTTCAGTCAATTTGGCAACCAGAATGAACCTAGCCATGCAAGGATCTTACAAATTGCACGGGCAGTGCAAGGAAAGCGGCAGGAGCAGACAGCCATTACAGCAACTCAGCAGTATCAGGCTGCATTCTTACTCCCTAGGGGCTTCAGAGAGACGACTGAAATCTTGGCAGACCTATTTAAGCTACTAAGCAAACAGCCTTCAGTAAACATGCATCAAAAAAATTGAAGATATAAGACGTGGCTCAATTAGAGCAGACTTAACAAGTAGAAAGGCACAACCTCATGAAGCTTATAAGCTACCAAACCTCAAGGGAATACTGCCCTTCCCAAAGAATCGGATACTAAGGTGCCAGAACTGCAAGAGCAAAACAAACAAACAACTTTGACTAATCAAAAAGGAAAATAACACTAAATACACATTCCTATTCTGACAACTGTATTAAATACAATTCAGCATACGGTAAGCATTTCTGCTTTGAAAGATGCTTTTGTCTATCTAGACTGTCACAAGCAATTTTTATTTAAAAGGCAGAAACTCCTAAAGTTAGTAGAAGTAGACAGGAATGTAAAAACCTTTATCTTTTGAATTACTACATCTCTATGTAAAGTCTAAGCAACAGGTAAAAAAGGACATTTGTTCTTTTCTCAAAATACTGATCAGTTGCAGCTCATGGTTTAAAAACAGACCTTTCAGACTACATTCATTCTTGCTTCACATGTGTTTCAGGAGTTTCTGTAGGTCTGTAAAAGGAGTTTCATACAGGAAGTATGAACCTTTCGTATACAAACTGGCATATAGTCAGTTTGTGAGATGGAAACAAGTCCTTAAAAAAAACCCACAGCCCTCAGTAAATCCCCTCCATAACGACTGATGGGCTCTGTACCGCCACAATTCAAACCCACTGGAGCCCTCCAAGTACAGAAGCTAAGTAGCTGTAGCCATTAGGCTTTGCAGATTTCATAAAAATTGTTGTATTCACTATAATGACATTATGGAAGCAGAAACAAATATTATGAGGGATTTACATGGCTGATTTCAGCAAGATACAGTAACAAACTGACAATTCAGTTTAAGAGGGTATACAGTACAACTCATTTAAAACACACAAGTGGAAAAAAGGCAAAATCTAGCTGTAATAAGCTATTTCTGGCCTTTCAACAGTGTTAATATTACAAATACATACCACTGTTTCTTTTAGATTTAAAGCCATGCTACAAAGAGGAGGCAAGTACTACCATCCAAATTGGCCAGATTTGGCCAAAAAAAAAGTGTTCCAGTGTCAGTTTCAGCAGCAGCAAATATGCAAAAATCGTCACGCAAACTTGTTTTTACAGACTCCCAGAAAGGGAAGCAACAAGCACGTATTTGTGAGATGTGCTACTATACATGCCATTGTGGTTTTGAAAAAAGAGTCTGCATTGAGTGAGCAGTTAATCTGTTGCATTATCTTTTTTCCCCTCCTCATTCACACATTTGAAAGGAAATGAGTAGTGTAAGAGACAAAACAAAATTTTAATTCATAAGCGGTCTGTGGGTATATCTGCATGAAATTTAACAGTAAGTTTTCCATTAATACAAAAATTGTGCATCGAATTAGGGTTCAGCCCACTCTAAGTGTTCCCCAAGACAGCCTTTCACCAGAGGAAGGTTCAGTGTATGCTTCTGCTTCCAAAAATAAAGGGAGTAAGCGCTTTACCAATATGAGATAAGCAATTTCAAGTGTTAATTTGACTTTCTCCAGGGAGTGACGTATTCCAACAACTTGCTCTGATAAAGGTAATACACCAGAGGAAGATTCAGTCAAAATTTTCAGAAAGCACTAAATTGCGTTTGCTTTAAGGTTTCTAAACATAGATCAAATATCCAATTTTTAAAATGTTTATACAACTTCAAAGCTGTAACTGGCTTCTGAAGGCCTCATCTTAAGGGATTGCCTTCCTCCCCCCCCCCCCCCCCCCCCTTTTTTTTTTTTTTTTTAACCCTGGCTCCGAGCAAGATCCAATCATTAACCTGCGGTACATCTTGTCCAAGACTGCTTTTTATCAGGTTGGATGAAAGAAGAAAACTTCCAGTTCCGGAGGTTTTTTTTTTTCACTGTTATCCACAGTTTCTCTGGTATAAACGTAGTCAGAGATACTAATATTTGTCCTTCCCCAAACTTACTTCCCTTACGCAAAGTCATGTAAGACAGCCCAAATAAGAATCTAAGTTAAGCACTAAAAAAAAGAAAGGAAAAGAAAAACGTGAAGAATCTCATCCCTGCTCTTTTTCTATGACAACTGACCATCCCTTCCTCAGACGCAACAACAACTGTCTTTCTCAAGTCACACATTCCTCTTCCAAACGCCTGTTTGGAAAAGTAGACATTCCTACATATATTAACATGAGAAACGATGCCTTCCTCCCTTCAGCATTAGCCTTGAGAGGTTAAATCCCAAACTGTTAAGAGCTGCTTCCTACTGTAACCACCTTCAGTTCTTAATTCAATCCTCATCATAAAACCCATCCAGCAGGCAAACAAAAAGAGCTTCCACAAGCATATCTACATAACCATAATAAGCAGAATCAAGCTTCTAGTCAGGTCTAATCCTACCAACTTGGTTCAGCCACAAATAAAAGTTAACTTGGAGACTCCAAATAATGCTGCAGAATCACAGTTCATGAACTACTTGCTATTGTCTGTGTGCTTAATACGATCTTTAACCTTCTGTTGCGAAAGTTACAGCTACTATTTTTCATCTTTGCAGAACTTACGCGCTCTCAGGGGATGCACAGTGAAAATCCATTAGAAACTTACACAGCCAGCACAAGCACCTGGAATTCTCTTATCCTACAAAAATGTGTCTGTTGAAGGTTTAGAAAATTCTACCTCGTTACATTGAGATCATTAATTTGAACAGGAAGTAAAACATGGTTCTGAACGGGGGGCTGAAATATTACAGCCCCTATTTTAAGATAGTTTTTTTTTTTCTCTCCTTCTTTTATATTTGTTCAGAGTTTCGAATAGACTGAGAAGAGACGGGGAGAAAAAAAATGTATATATTCTGTCTCTTTTTACTCAGCAACAGCTCCGCTACTTGTTATCTTTCAGCTTTGCTATAGTACTTACTAACACAGTAACTTCTTAAGGCCTAGTCACTGGCCAAAGGTAGCAATAAACGCAGCACTACTAATTACCTTGTGGAAATATAAAAAATAACTAGACTGAAAAAAGAAAAAACCCAAAGCTTAAAGCTTTCCATTAAAGAAAACAGATGCAAGATTCTTTCATTTTCTCACACTCCCTTACAATTGAAAGGGTCTAAAAAAAATACCGTCACATCTAGTTCTACAAACCTATATCCACAAAGCGATTTCTTATTTTTCATATTCTCACACGTTCATCCAGAATATATTTATGTATGATGTTCCTCATATATAGGCAGTTATTTCAAGACTATCAGCAAGTCTGCTAAAATATTAATATATATCTAGCTTTAGTTTAAGGAACTCTTGTTCATTTCATAATCTCAGATGAGGACAAAAGTGCTGATGTAATACTGCAGTGTTTAACGCACAGTCTTCTTCCACATGTCACTCAGTCGGTGAGTACAGCAACCACAAGAGAACCCTAGCTTCCTTTTGATCATTTATCTCCGTCATAAAGAGATCCTAAAAGAGGGCACAGTGAGTAAACCACTTCCTGCTCAAAATTGCAATTTGCAACAGTAACTTTCTAAAGCAACTTTTCTTCATCATATCAAAATCAAAACGTTTTAAACAGGAAAAATTAAACTACACTAGATTAAAATGCATGGATATATAAAAAAAATCAAATAAATAAAATTAACATCTACCAAAAAAAATTAAGTTTGGAATACAGCACAAAAGTCATAACACTCCAGCCAGCTTTTGGTGGTGAATGGTCTAATGTCTTTTCACTTTGGAATCCAAATTAAGTTTGGTAGTGGGAAGTCCTCGAGCTGTTGCTAAGAAATTTTACTGAAACATGGCAACGTAATGCTTCCTCAAAAAGCACTGTCTGTATTTTATTTTTTCATAGACACTCCTTGCCATGCTTAACCATGAGAAAGTAATTCTGAAGCAAACATAAAAGTGGACCTTCACATTTCAGGACAAAACCTTACCACTGAAGAAGTTTCAGAAGGTTCCCACCAACACCAGCAACAGCTCAGTTCTGTCAGTAACAGCAGCACTGCAATTCCTAGCCATTAGCTGCAATTGGCATTCCTAGCTTACTCACCCAGACCCATTTCAATTGGGCTTAAAAGGCATTGATACCAGGTAGCCATGCTGAGCCCTAACAAGAGGGAGCGCTTTGGGAACTAGAGATGAGTAGTTGCTAAAAACTTCTGCAGGGAGTCCCATAAGCTTATACCTGTTCCCTCCAACAAGGCAACCACCCCCTCCCCCAAACAAACACCGCTCCCCCACCAAAATACCTCCCCCTCCACCATAGGAAAAGAAAATGTTATTGGTACCAGGCTGTGCAGGCATTCAGAATTAAAAGGGATCAATTATATCATGTTGTAACAACAAACTCAAAATTTAAGGATGGATATATTTTCTTACTGTACTACTAGCTGCTGGCACACAGATCCATTATCTGTTATCAGTTCATTCAGTTTTAATTCAAGGTGAACTTTTCCCTGAAAAAACAAGAAACATAAGAAAATATTTTTAAAGAAACTTAAAATAGAGACATTTAAAAATATTTTCAAAGTAGTGATTAAGACAATATAGTTTATAGTTTAAAACCTGTTCAGGTAATCCCAATACGTCCACTTCAAGCAGATATCTAGTCTAGAGTATGTATCCTGCAAGTACAGTACGTGAAACATGTTTTGAACTTGGAGAGATAGTGATTAAGAGATGCATCACCACCCTGAACTGCAAGCAACGCATGAATTGGTCAAGCCTCTACAGAGCTAACATACCAAAAAAATATTTCTTTCCAGCACGAGGAAGTACAAAGAGTAAAAGCTCCTCTCAATCTTGTTGTCCAAGGTGCTGGAAGAACCCATGAATAAACGAAGCATGAGTTCAGAAGAGTTCCAGAAGAGAGTCCTAACGTGAACTTGGAATCTCAAGGCAATTAGGTACATAAAAGAAGCAGAATAGTATAGGGTAGCCATAACCAATAACCTTTAATACACAGTTGTAAAATCCAGTCCACTCCACCAGATTGAACATCTTTCAGAAATCTTATTCTAGTGCAGCTTTTAACTGTCCCATGAAATCGGCTGATGTGTTGATGGAACAGTAAATACAACCCAAGGAGATGAAAAGGTTTAGATAACAATATCTAAGCCTGGCCTCTTCCTCCTCTTTTCCTGAGATGGTAGGATGATGTTTGCCACTTACTAAAACATAGTAGAAACAAGAATCCATAAGTTATGGATAAATGAACCCTGGAAACCAGCAAGGACAAGCCTTTACCCTTTCAAAGGCTGCAAGAACTCCAAGCCATGCCATGCACCTTTCTTGGGGTGTCCAAAACTTCGGACTACAGCCTTTCTCCAAACACCTGCCTGAACGATACTCCTATTCCTTTCCATTCCTGACTATTTGTGCTGGCTTTCACATCAAATGTAAGAGACACTGATGCAGATAAAACTAAAGAGTTGGCTGGGAGGATGCTTTACCATCTCCGCACAGACTCCTGTGTTTGCAAAACTATGTAAAGAGACAAAACAGCCTCAATGGATCCTGCCAGTCAAATGAAATAGTTCAGAGTTAAGACTTACTTTTTACAACTGCATCACCTGCATTCACAAAGTCCATCAGCCACAAACCAACAGAGGCTGGAAAACTCTGGGCAATGTTTTCTATATGATCCCCTAATCCTTAAACTCTTCTCTACAGATCCTTTATAAGCAACTGTCAAGAAACAACACCAGGCAAGAGAGACCTTCAGTCTAATACAGTACTGCTATTCTTATTAGATTGGTGCACTTGCTAAACGGAACATTCACCAGTCTGTCTGTTCATGATTAGGGTTCCTCTTCAACCAGAAAACTAACGGGACAATTTAGGGAAGGGACTTGGAAGGTAACTTAAGTGTTACAAAGGAAGCAAGCAACAATTTGAACTACAGTTTTGCTGCTACAACCCTAAAATGGAAATAAAACCCTTAGCTGACCGTGTGCACATTTCTAAAACACTAGTGTTTTGACGTAAAACTGAAATGTTTTTATTGTAAATCCCCTGGGGCAAGGGTTGTATTTTTCTCTCTGTACGTCACATGGAAGGAGAAGTGAAGTTTCTTTTTTTAAGGAAGTTTTAAATGTAACTATTTTGGGATGCCTGCCAAGTGTTTTGTAAAGTGTTACTACATGCAGTGGAACACAGGTACATTAAGAAAATATTTGTCAAGCAGAGAATTTATCACAAAAATAGATTTACAGGCTAAAAACAGATATTGAGAAGGAAGCCAACAGCCTTAAAAGGCAAGTTCTTAAGTGACAAATGAAGAGACAGTATTAGCAGTATTTATTGTAATAGCTGGCTTAACTATGTTAAGTAAACAGACCTTGTGAATGGCCTAAACACACTTTCCTTTACTAAAAAAGCAAACAAACAAAAAACCACACACACCCCCCACCCCAAAACCCCACAAGTCATGTATTTTTCTGCAGCAGTCAGTACAACAGAAAGTTTACTGATCTCGAGAATGTTATCTATACCTGTATTTTGTTCAAAACTCAGCACCATGACGACTAACAAAACGGCTGCATCTAAGTGAATATTTTCCTGACAAATAGTAACAGTTTTGGGTACACTGTTGTTTGATTTGTTGAAAGCAGTGTGATGGTCTCCTAAAGCAGCTGATCTGCAGATCTCTATCACCGCTTTGAATGAAGTTTGCAACTGAGTCTTAAGAGTGTTTTACAGGTTGGTTTTAGACCAAAATATCAAGATAAATCAGTCATTCTAATAGGACAAATAAGAACAACTCCTATGTGAATGCACTTTTGTAGGTCTGTTGATCTCAAAGCAGTTCACAAAGCCAGGCAAGTACCAGTTTCATTTTATAAATGGACTGGCAATTTTCTTTCCTGATACTGACAAGAAGGAGGAGACAGAGCTGTTGATTCTGTACAGGGCACAGATTCACATCCAGGTTACCAGAACAGACAGAGTGCCCAAACCACTAACCTAAATGTCAGAATCACAAAAACAATTGAGTTTCATAATTTCATTTCATAATTGTTATCATATTTAAATATAGCATTTTAAGAGTTGTTCCCCCCTCCCGCCCCCACTTGCAATGTTTGAATCATTTCTGCATTGGGAAATTTTGCAACTACTTATACTAAGTACAAGACTTCTAAAGCTCTTAAGTGGAAACCAGGCCGGCAACTGTATTTTAAACATTTACCCCTGTAGGCACTCATATACTATGCCTATATTCTGTATACAGAATTATACTCTCGCAAGTATACCACAGAGTAACTTTTGACAGTATTAGTTTTCTTCATAAAACCTTATCTCCTTTATATAAAAATGCTAACAGTTATTCTCCAGTTCCTCCCTTAGGAAGCAAGACAGTAGATTACAGTATTTCTGCTAGACTGTCTGTCCTATTTCTATTTCCCCCAACACAAAAAGAAAAAAAAAATCACAACTGAATTACTGGATTTTTAGTACCATAAAAGATGCACTTTAATTTATATCATACCATGCTAGCACCTAAAATAGAAGAAAAAATGAAAGCCAAAATCTAGCGATTTTTCATACCGAAAAAACCCACTAAAATAACACAGATTTTCCACTTGGAAGCACTTCTGGTAAGCCCTGTAGTATATGAAAAGTAAAACTGAGGCTCTAGAACACTCCATAAGTTATACAATATTCCTGTATTTAGTATGGTACAAAACACTTAATTCTGTGTGCTTACTGCAAAAACTCTACACGTACCAGAGGAAGGTTTTCTGAGCTTTCATCAGCTTTTTTGCAGCTTCTTATTCTAAGTTAGAGCAAACACATACCACGTTTCTGAAACGTACTACATTTTACTATCTCCCATACCTAGCTCCCAGCACAAAGGAACGGCCCACAGTTCCATGCTATTAGGAGAACTTGTGCAACCTGGATCCTATTGCAAGGTTTACTCTCCACCAGACCTTTCTTTCCTAGGATTACAGATCTGAGCTGTTTTGAATCTACGAACTGGCTTGAGGTTCACTTTGTCTTTCCAAACGAACTTAGGCATTCGACACGAACACCAGGGTGGCTCCATCAGAGGTACGTCATTTCAACAACGTAAATATCTATCAATTTTAAGAAAGACTAATGTCACTTGAAAATCTTAGAAGTACATAACAGATTTCTTGTCAATATATTTCACAAGCGTAGATCAAATCTCTACAAAATATTTTTCATGTTATGGCCAGCATAATGGACCGTGTTTACCAATATGACCTCATTTCAAATTAACTAAATGAAGATAATAAAATTGTTAGGATTGCATTTGTATTTTTTATAAGCATGCTAAGGCTATCTTCATTTTTATGAAACTCTAGGCTTCTTTTTAAAAAAATAGGCTTGCACCAGCTGCAATTAAATACTGCGCTCCACTCACCTTTCCAAACTCTATTTTGTTTGCTTACTACTTTCTCATTCCTGTACACTTTTCAAGAACTAGCGGACAGAGGAAAAAGTTCTAAGAAAACAGTGTGAATATCCATTCACAGTATTGTAACCAGTAGCAAAAACTAAAGAAAAAAGTAGCAAAGTCTTCCCCCGCCCCTTCTACAAAACAAAAAACCCCCCACAGAATAGATGCTTACTAAAAGTCAAAGCAAATTAATTTTTAGATACTCTTCCCATGGCTGGAGAAAGCCCCCTCCTTCTCCCACTAAGCGGAAATTCCCCCTCAACCCTTCCTTTTTAAAAGAGTCAAAAGAATAAGTTCTAGCTTGACTTAGTTTTAAAAAGGAACATGGGATCTGGGCCACTGAGTTTTTACACTGGCATAATTATACCAGATGCAATTATATCCACCAACACAGCTATTAAAATGCAAAGATACTTATCCACCAGTTTAACATATTTGAACCACAGTATTTGGTTCAGGTAGTTCAGTTTAATCGGCACGCTTTCATGAATCAGCAAAAGCAAATCAAATCAACTAAATAAGATTGGTTAAAAAACAGAAAGTCAGCTGATAATAATATGAACTCATACAGTAGTATCTTTGTGTAATCTCCATTTTGGAAAGGGTGGAAAGGAAAGAGCAAAGAACAGGAAAGAAAAGAAATCATACAAACCCAACGTAACTTCAAGACAGATTTCTATTGTTTTCATAATGATTTTATGTTAGGATAAACCAAAATCTTATGTTAAACTCAAGCAAGTGCCTTTACTTTGCTGAACTGACACTTCACTTCCACTTCAGATTACCAGTATTAACATAGAGCTGTGGAACTAGAATGTGTGATGACAGGTATACAACTTTTGCATTAGCAGTACATTGTGCTTTTTTACCCTACAGAAGTCCTAGATTTATAATGGGTAACGTTCTTTTAGGAAATGACTGCTCCGTTTCTCTCCCGCTCCTTCCCTTTTTTTTTTTATTTTAAAGGAATCAGCAAGTTTAATTCTTAGTAATTCCAGGAAAAACAAAATGTTGCATTCAATACACTTAAGTCTTTCTAGAAACTTTCAAAGTTCATTAATAAACTCAAATCTCTTACAACCCTACTTTCATTTGTCCTACAAAGGTGGACATACAGACCCATACAGACTACGAGAATTGCTGGAAGTGTAAAGAAAAACAAACAAAAAGAAGAAAAATCCAAGATAAGCTTATCAGAAGAAAGACATTAGCCAATGCCAAAGCGCTTGATGACTCGGTCTGGATTTTGAACATCCGCAAGTATGCCACAATATTCAACTTATTCATTGCAAAATGAATATGCATCTCCATGACTAACGTATCTGATATACAAGTTACTCCTTAGAGGAAAATTTGCCCATATGAAAAATAGATTCCTGGTACACATAAAGCAAAATTTTCTTGAAATAAATAGTTTTTCTTTAAAAGAAATTACGACATATCCTGCATATAGCCACGGAATATAAAATACTTCAGAGCCATCCCTGTACCCTTCAAAAGGGAAAGACTCATATGGAGGTAATCAGAAAAAAAAAAAAGTTAATTAGATGTTTAGCCTTGTAAGGAGCACAGCATACTTAAACTATTTTTCTTTTTCAAACTATTACTTAGCTTTTTAAACATCTGTGCATTTTTTCTGTGTGTATG